TTAGTAATTTTGCTCTTTTGAAAACAAACAAAAGTTCCAACAACATTCTACTTTTATTCATTGTTTATTCTATATGTTTTTCCTGAAATGCTATGATGTATTGTATCCTTATAATAGCAAATTTACAAATTTGATATTTTGCCATCAATATTGCATCTATTTACTATCTATTTAAGGACACTCAGAAGTTCCATCTATCCTTTGTTTTGCAATTTCAAGGCTCTAATTCACAGGAAGTGTTTACCTTTAAAAGAACTTCAAATGTTTCCTTTAGTTGTAATCAAGTGGTGACTCTCTGTTTACTAATTCCTGAGAAATGAATTAATTTTGGTTTCATAGTAAAAAATACATTTACATCTTTTTTACTTCCAAATTATTCATTTTTAGCTTCCAAATTTCTTTAACAAGAACCAACGGAAAGTTATTTTAACAGTACTATACTGAGAGATGCATAATAGGAAAAAATGTGACTAACCTTTTCATATTATTTTAAAAAGCTATTTCCACATATTCAAGAATAAATTCTAATTATTCTTGTTATGTTAAATTATTTGCTTGGTTTTCATATTTTTGTTATATCATTATGTGAACAGAGATTCCACAGAGTTAGATGACAGAAAAGAGAAAGACCATATCATTGCATATAATAATAATATGCTCTAATTATGTAGGATTATATAATTTAAAGCTCCAAGTTAATGTCCATGATGTTAATAGGTATAACTATATCAAACAAAAAAAGGAACATTAATGAATATGACATGGTTTGCTTTAAATTACAGCTTTAACTCTTAAGTGTAGTAATATGTAAGCAAAATGAATTGAACATGTATAGAGCACATATATGGAGCACTTAAAATAAGATTCCGTTTATAAAAATGAAGCATAATTATCCTACAAGAGGCCATTATTCATATACAATATTCAAAGGAAATGCTTGAAATCACTATTTTCTTTGGTACCAATTGCCTCAAATTTGCTACTGCTTTTACATGGCAAGATTTAAGCAATTGTGTCTCGAAAGAGTTAAGGATAAAATAGTTATATAACTACATATTTAATATTTTAATTTTACTGACATAGCATAACATTGATAGCATTCAATTATATCTACTCACCTAACATTTATTTCATTGAAGGGATTTTAAACAAAAATTTATCTTTGAAAATGAAATAAAATGTAGTGACTTCAAGAATTTGAACAAAAATGTGAAATGATTTTTGTGTTTCTTGTAACATCATTAGATGTAGAATAATTATTGATTGCACAAACATCAAGTTTAGTATTAGTTGACAATGTATTTTGAGTTTTATAATGTTTTATGACTTTTTATGATATATTTGAAACAATATGACTACAAGGAGAAAAAACTATAAGTAATATCATTTATATTTGGTGTGGGCAGCCTCCTGAGACATGAGAAGAAGAGAGACTTAAAATAAAATATAAAAATCCTTCCATGGAAACACGCAAACAAGCCAAGCTGTTGCCAAGGATATTAGTGGCTTTCTACAAACTAACACTGAAGCCTTAATGCTGAAAACAACCCATACACAACTCATGAAACACGGAGAAGTTGAGCTGGTGCCTATGTTAGAGACTTATTCCCTACTGACTAGTGTTCATGATACTTGAAGGAATTATGATCTCTACTAAAGAAGAAAAGGAGACACAAACCCAGCTACAAAGTGACTTGCATATAAGACTTGCTTGTGCAATAGTGGTGCAAAGCTTGTTCAAGTAACCAACCAATATCTTATTGGATTTAAAGCTCACTCCATGAGATGGAATCGATAACCCAATGCTGTTAGATGTCTAAGAACATGAGACTTGATAGCGCAGAGACCTAGGGGAAAACCAAACACTAGTGTTCTGCTAAAGAAAATACCAATAAAATGACTCATAGGTGACATTCTGTCATACTCATAGATCAGTGTCTTGCTCAGCCATTATCAGAGAATCTTCTCTCTTTCTTTCTTTTTTTTTTTCTCTTTTTTGAGACCAGATGTCTCTGTGTACCATTGGTGCCTGTCCTGAAACAAGTTCTTTAAGACCAGGCTGGCCTTGAACTCACAGAGATCTGCCTGCCTCTGACTCCCAAGTGCTGGCCTTCAAGGCATGCATACCACTGTCCAGTTTACAATCTTCTCTTTGCATCAGAGGGGAACAAATACAGAGAACCACAAATGCACAATGTGTAGAGTGGGAGAGACCTTGGAAATTACAGTCCTAAAAGAGATGTATGTCTCTATCAAATCTTTCCCCTCATGGCTCCAGAGACTTAGGAAGAGAAGGCAATAAGAATGTTGGACCCAGAAGGGATAGAGGACACCAAGGATTCTGTCCTTCCAGACACAACATGGCTTGCACACAAATGAACTCACAGAGACCATGGCAGCATGCACAGGGCCTGCATGTGTCTGCACAGAGGGGGTGCTAGAGCTGAAGAGAGAAGTCGACACCTGTCCTCATACCTAATACATAGGCTACCTCCAATAGGTGGTCACTTGCAAATGACAATTTAGTTTTGTACAAAGGAGTCATGCTGAAAAAACAAATCATTCTTAAGGGTGGACCTCATGCCTAGCTATCAATGGCCAACACAAAACAAACTCAATGGCATCTTTGAAGGTTCTTTGTCTCATAAATTTAAGTCAGATTTTCATTTTCTTTTGTTTATTTGTCTTTTAACTTAAAGATTCTTTATAAAAATTGTAGCTTACAATTTTGGATTCTTAAAGGACTCCTAAGTGTGAATATGTGTCTCTGCATCTATATGCATTTTTTGTACTTTTATTTTGACTTTTCCTTTGACTCTTTTTTCTTGTTCAGTTCTTTTCTCTTATTATGATTTATTTTATATATTATACTTATTTATTTTAGCATTACTCCTTAGATGCCTTTTTGTTTTCAATGAGAGAAAAATAAGGTTTGGATTCAGATGGGAGGGGAGGTATGTAGGAACTGGAAGAGGTAGAGAGGAGAACTGCAATCAGAATCAATTGTATAAAAATTATTTTTCAGTAAAAGAGAAAACTTGTCTAAGAATCTCTCGAAAGAGGAACCTTGGTGATTAATCCTCTCTCACCTTTTGAGAACACATAGCAATTCTTGTAAGGTACTCGGAAAATGACACACTACATGACACATTTAGCTGACCACTGTGTCCTTTAATAAGACAAAGTGACCAACATTGTAAGGGTGTGATGAGAGAAACTGATTTCAAAATCAGTCGGGTATGAGAATTTCCTGTTAAGCCTTCAAAGACACATTAGTGAGAAATCTACTTTTCCACTCCTGACTCACCCTGAGCCTCCTGGGGCAGCCTGCTTATTTCACTGGCACAGTTGTCCTGGGTTCTGCCACTGACTTTCAACTTTTGTTACTCAACCCCAAAGGACTCCTGTGAGCTCCTCACCCACCTAGGTGCAGGAAGCCTAACAGGAGATGGATCTTATCACTGCTTCCTTGTCCTCACCAGCCCATTCAGTTCAGGGGACACTGAAATGCTGCATGTAGAATCACTGAGCAGAGAATCAAACTGGAGCATGGGTGCCTTTAAGCTCCTCAGGGAAATCCAGCCCATAGAACACATTGGAGGACTGTCTAAAAGTTATGTCCTTGCTGTCTGTGTAGAATTAGCCACCTACTCATGTTTGTGTTTCCTTATCAATATAATTAAACCTACAACTATAGGAGACCTGATGACGAAGTGTTGCTTGTTAGTGTTGCAATTTGTACTCTGCGTATCTTGAGGGCACAGATTGAGAGCTTGGTATGCCAAGCTGGATACCAACTGCCTTACATGCTTATTATGTACATACTCAAACTTAGATTTTAGATGAATAAAATATTTATAATTGTTTAATAGTCACGTGCTATAGGTCTCAACGCCAGAATTAATTTTAGATCTCACTGATTCCAGGACTCAGGGATTAAATTATTAAATCAAATCTTCTTATAACTGAATATGTAATCTGATAAAATGGCTGATTTTAACAAGCACATGTTCTCCGGGTAAGTATGAACTAACAATATTTGGTTATGTAGTGCCTTTACTTTATCTCTTTGTTAGTTTTAAAGTTTAGCCATTAAATCAATAACAAATCATTTCATCAAATAAAATACATACTAAAAATCTCTTTTGAAAAAAATAATTTTGAAATGTTTCAAATATTGTTTAATTTATATGTGTTTATTTTGACACAAAATATTTTCCAATATTTACAATACCTTTAATTATTTTTGCAACTTCTCAGAACTTTTCCATTACTCCAAATAGATGCTAATGTAGTAGCGCATGGTTCATTTTATTAAACTCATATAAAGTATTGATCCAAAATAAGATAATGTAGACAATTAAATATGTCAATGTTCTTAGTCACTATTTAGATCATTATATTTCTATTTCTTATTAAATTCAAACAATATCAAATTGACACATAATATATTCTGCTATAGCATTGAACCTTTTAACAAAGGCATTATGTCATTTGGTATCAATTGTCTCAAATATGCTACTATTTTTACATGACAAGATTTAAATAATTATTCTGTTTCAAAAGAGATATTATGTTTCATGACTTTGGGGACAGATGTTGGGTGAGTTTGAGGACATATGGAAACTAAATTCAATGTATAAATTTACCCTTAATTTGTAAAACTTTTTATCTCTAATTTGTTTGTTTTTTATTTTCCCTATTTGTACTAATTTGTCAAATTTGTAGTAGGTTTTTAAACTGTAACACATGAACTCAAGGCCCAACGTAAAATTAGATGTTTCAATTGTACAAAAGCTACAGTTATCTGGGCTCCTCCTTTGTGACTGCATCAGGATGTCTTCTTAAGTTGAGTGACAATAGCTTCTCACAGGACTGTAGACATGAGTCATGAGTCATCTGCTCAGAACTGAATACGTGGCTCAAGACCCAGGGAAGCAGCAAAGGAAACCCAGGGGCACTCACAGCTCCATTTCAGTTACCCCGCAGGAAATCAGCTGATGGAATTCAGCCTTCATAATGCTTCCCAGAAGCATCTCAAGAACAACAGGCACAGCCACTGTAAAAGTAAGGCATTGAATGGGCCTTCAGTGTAACTGTTCTGGGGTGGTAACTGGCAAGTAGACAGGAATAGACTCTTTACTGGAAGAAAAGGAAACTGTAACCTGACCCATGCCATTTGTTTAAAATTTGAGCAGTTTCAACTCCGTGTTGCAAGAATATATGACCATTTTATTTACTGGAAATGCAATGATATTGCCTACAGACCAATTGCAGCATAGGGGAGGGCCAGAGTGCTATGTTTATTCTTCTGATTCTCTGAGTTCTCTTCTGTGTAAATTCTGTGAACACCTGTATCCATTTTCTACCTCTGCAGAAATTTTATCACCTCCAGAGAAGCTCATCTCTGTCATCCTGGGCATTGTCTGGTTTGCTTTATTGGTCACCTTGTTGATAATGACCAGAACTGTCTTTCCATGTAAGCATGTTTTTGAGAAATTATAAAGGAGCTTTCGTCTTTAATGATGACATGTCTTTCAATGCTTCGTCTTAGTGAGGAAAATGCTTTTAATTTCAAGTACATACGGGGATTAAATGTGGACTTTTGATTCTGATTTTGTCAACGTTATAAAGAAAAGGAGCATTATAATGTTTGCTTTTAAGTATATCAATTATGACATTACAATTTAACAACATGCTTTAGAATATTTAATTTAGAAATAAACTAGTTTTGAAAGTGTTTTGTCACCATATGTGTTGTACTGTAAAAATGCTTAAACTTAAAAATTTTTTGAACTAATTATTTCCAAAGTTTTTACCACATTATTCATATTATAACCATTACAATAGTATTCTGTGTTATTCTAATTAAAAAAGCACATAAATTTTAAACTAAGGGATTAGGATTGTTATGATTAATTTAGATGTTAAATTTACTAAGAATTACATTAACCCTCCAGACAGGAGCAAACCCACCCCTTCCTAATTACAAGTCAGAATAGTAGACTTCACTTGCCAAAGTTCTGAGGCTTGTACACGTTATATTTTGTGTCTAACTTCAGCCAGGCAAAGATAATGATGTATTTATAGGAAGAGAATGATCTAGAAATAAGAATGCTATAATCTCCTAAACAAACATTAGAGGATGATAATACCTTTTGTCACTCAATAAGAAGAAACAATTACATAAAATAACTATACAACAGTTTTTATAATTGGCTTAAATTTCGTACTTACAGTGTAGGATGAGGCAGTAATGAATTTGGTATTCTAGAATAAATGTTATGCTCAGCAATTTTGAGTACAGTTGTGGGGAGAGAATTTGTTTTGGATTCATATGCTTTATATGGACATATAACTATGGGTCAGAGGTTGCTGCTGTGCTTGAGTGTGTTTGAGTCTGCATTTTGTTTTCTAAGGATCAGCATCTGGAGTTCATAGCTATATTTTATACATGGATGCACAAAACTATGCAAATGTAAATTAACTTTCATTATTAAATTTCTGTTGCTTCTAGATAATAATCTTTCTTCAGCACACCCTTGTGGTTCTTGTCCAAAGGAGTGGATGTCATATTCCCACAATTGTTATTATATTAGTGTGCAGAAAAAAAATTGGACTGACAGTTTGGTGTCCTGCAATGCCAAAAACTCTAGTCTGCTTTATATAGAGAGTGAAGAGGAACAGGTAAAAGCTGCCATGTATCAATCATTGCTTAACCTTTATTATTGTCAATGTGCTAGACAATACTCCCACACCACCCATGCTATCTGGTGGACATTGAAGGAAGGAGTGAATGTTACATTCTCAAAGGCAGAGGCAACTTACATGGCCATTTGTACTTATGGGATCCTGGGCACCAACTCCCACCCTGGTGTCCTTCAGCAAGTAAGAGAAGCCCTTCATATGACCAATTATCCCATTGGCACTTCCAGCCTTGCTCAGTGCTGCTTGCCAGTCTCTCTTACACACAGAGGAGAGAGCTCACATAACCTACATGTTGTTGCTGGGCCCTGAGAGAGAACATATAGGGTAATTTCCTTCCATTGAATGAGTGACACAGGATGTCCTGTCATTCTGAAGTCCCCCACCTTCAAGTGTCAAGCCCTTTCAGCTTTGTTTCAGGCCTNGGCCGTCTCCAGATACGAGATTTGCCTAGGGCATCAGGTCCTCTCTGGACTGCTGATTGCCAGGGGGACCACCTGGGGCTTCGCTCCAAGAAGCTCTAACCCCAATCCTTCAGCAGGCAAAAGCCAGCGCAGAGGCATTTTGTCACTACACGGCAGTCACTGCTGTGGACGTGGCAGTGGACATTGAAGGAAGGAGTGAATGCTACATTCTCAAAGGCAGAGGCAACTTAGATGGCCATTTGTACTTATGGGATCCTGGGCACCAACTCCCACCCTGGTGTCCTTCAGCAAGTAAGAGAAGCCCTTCATATGACCAATTATCCCATTGGCACTTTCAGCCTTGCTCAGTGCTGCTTGCCAGTCTCTCTTACACACAGAGGAGGGAGCTCACATAACCTACATGTTGTTGTTGGGCCCTGAGAGAGAACATATAGGGTAATTTCCTTCCATTGAATGAGTGACACAGGATGTCCTGTCATTCTGAAGTCCCCCACCTTCAATTGTCAAGCCCTTTCAGCTTTGTTTCAGGCCTTCAGAATTTCTTGCTTGTTACTTTGATTATAACTCCCCAAGTTTGACCTTTACTTAAAACAGTAGCTAAGAGAAGCTTTAGAGCTACCCTATTAGTAAGCCACTTCTACAGTGATTGATAACAGTGGAGGCTCAGCTACTTAGTAATAACATGGCTACCCATAAAATAGAAACTATGTCCACTACATCACTCATTTCATTAATAGCAAACCACAACCTTCCTTCTAAAACTGAACTTTGGAAAATAGTAGAAAAATTGATTTGAGCACAATACCCTGAAAATTTTATGCATAACTTCTGGAAATTTGTTTGAATCCCTGTTATGTTTGTGTTGTGAGCATAAATATAAATTAAGTTACATAATTAAGTTGCCAAATTTCCAACCAATACAAGAATAATACTTATAATTGTAATCATTTGAAAGTTAACTCTAAGTCAAAATAACATATGTATGTGAATGTTTTGGCAATGTAATAAGTGTTCTCAACTTTAATAATTTGCTCCATACTAGATAATAAGTATACTATGACAGAATATGCTAACACATTTAAAAGACAGTATGAGACTTCATACTAATAAAATTCCTTGATTCCCTGGTAGAACTTTCTGCAATCCCTCTCACTGATCACATGGACTGGAGTCTTTCGGAAGAGCAGAGATCAACCCTGGGTTTTGAAAAAAGACTCAACTTTCAAACCAAGGTAAGTTTTCATGAATGATGCAATAGACAAGAAAAATTTTTTTTAAAAAAGCCACAAAAGAATGGTGTCAATAAATTAAGATGAATTATAAACAGGCAGAAAGAAGCTGACTTTCATGAACTCCTTATGTGAATCAGAAGAATTGGTTACTTGGCTTTCATAATAATCAGCATTTACCACACTGTTAGTGAAGATACCATTGCCTACTTGCATGAGACCCTTCTTTTGCACTTATTTCTAGGAGTCACTTACTTTGTGTTTCCACCATTGCAGGATAACAGAACTTTTTTATGGTGAACATAACTGTGTCATGCTTTCAACCTCTGGCCTCCCAGCAGATGACTGTGCAGTTTTACATACATATCTTTGTAAGCATAAGCTCACCAACTAAAAACCCTGTATTGGAGTCTTTCAGGTAATTCTCTATTTCATAACCTGAAAATAAGATTAGGACTATGTACATATTAAAGTGAATTATATTATTTGCTCTAATAATGATTTTTTTCAAAAACAATCATTGAAATATACTAAACGCACCAAAGTATAAATATTACTTTTGTATCAAGATACTCTTTATAATGCTAAATTTATAAGACATTACATATATTCAAGGAGAGATTCTGCAGAAGTGCTGTTATATTTCAAATTTACCATACAATTTGCTGTTGTCATAGGACTTTGTAGTATTGCTTTGCTGGAAGCTGAAGATTACATATTGAGTTCCATGAATACAACTATATTGCTCATTTATTAACAACACTT